ATTAGAAAGTTCTAATTTCTGAAACTTTAAATCCTACTGTCTTTTAGGATGGTTTTGCAAGATTAAAGTTGGATGACGATAAATTGCCAATAATAGGTAAAATCTAGCTTTAAAAGCCTATAATTGTTTTTTGTTACAACAGTCAAAAGTAGCTACATCTTATGTGTTCACAAAGTTTTAGGTATATTTTTAGCTGCAAGAGTAGAGATTCGGGGATAGGCAGTGAATTGTAATTGAAGGCATGAAGAGATTTATGAGAGGAACTGAAAGGATTGAGTCTTCTTAAATAACATAATGTAGAAAAAGACCATTATGCTGATCTATACAAATTAATTCTATTAATAGAAGTAAAAGGTTATTGCCTTTCCTTTTAAGTGATGTTTTCGCTGATAAGTATATGAACATTGTTACGCTTTGCTGAGAAAAGATATTTCTGTGTGCAAGAAGTCTCCTTTGCCTATCTGAGTTGGGAAGTGCTGCAACTTCAAAACAGTTGAAAAGGAAATGCCATCCTATGTACGAGGTCTTTGGCTTTCATTCCCACGGGATATCGATGGGATTAAGACTTTGGTGGGATTTCATAAAGGATTAAATACTTAGGTCCTTCTGGGACTCTGAAAAATGTTAGTTTCTAAACTTTTAGGAGGCAAGACTAAAGAAATTTCTTAAGAAGCATATGGTGCAGGCTACTGGTAGACACTAGCCTAGTGGAGCATGTATAATTGATTCGCTTTTGGTGAAGCTTTTGTGTTCCTGGAGGAAACTGACATTACACGTGTAAAGAATATGAAAATACTGTATTTTGAACAGAGCCTTCAAAAGACAATGAGGGAAGAGAGGATGACCGTAGTGCTGGAGCACGGAACCAGGTTGTCATATCTCTGAACCATCAAGAATGGAAGGTATAATAGATAGCACTTGATACTTTTGAGTCTTTTTTTTTTTCTTAAGTGTAAGAATGCATCCGAGAGCTGTGCTGTTATGTACTCTGAGGGTAGATGTTCCTGTATATATTATCACTACGTTTAATTTCGTGGATTCCAGAACAATCACAAATCTAATGAATGCTTTTAACTGCAAGAAAACTGAGAATTGCGATAACAATTTCATCTTTGATCCTTGAAGCCTGGTCAGTTTAAGCGCTTTTAAGTTGCGCAGTGACTTGCCTTTACTGTTTTATTTGAGGACTGGATAAGTATGGAGTCTGTTTCTTCCCTTATATATGATACTTGCTTCTAGAGGGGAAGTTCTCCATACAATTTCCTCGCTGTTTGCTGGTTGTAATAAATCTTAGACAAAAAGTAGGTTTTAGCACATACAACTCTTCTCCTTTGTCCCTCACTCAGAATGTGCAGAAGAAACTTAGTAATTTGAAATAGTGCTTTAGTACGAGAAACTTTATTACTTACCTGATGGTAACTGCAATTAAATTGAAATAGTTCAGCTCTTGTAACTCTTGTCATCTCTAACCAGGAGATTGTAGTAACATATGAAATAACAGAACCCATGATTAGCCCTCCTTGTCATAGAAATGAAGATGAAATGGAAATCGCTTAATTCTTCAAGTAAGTTGTGGTTTGTGTTTTTTTTTTTTTATAAATCTAACTAAATAAGGATACAGTGCATGAGTTCCTTATGCATGTGGAAGAACTGCAGGGAAACTACCTGTGACTTATAAATGTAGAAAAACTATAAGCAGAGTAACTGTATAACGTCTGGAGCATTTCTATATTCTTGATATCTTCATGGAGCAAAATGTAATCTAGTCTTCTATGCGGTAATTAACTGAAAAAAACCTGTATTTTTACATTTGATGGTCAGTTAAGAGATATACTTGAGTTAATTTTTGGAACTTTATTCTTGTACTTGGAATGCAATGCTGTGAAGAATCATAGCTTAGTTTTTGTACTTTTTTTTTTTTTTAACCTACTGACAGCTGATGTTGTTAATAGAGTAGTCTGAAGAAGGACTTAGGGAGGCAGGAAGGGAAGACAGCCTGGTTCCCTCTAAAATCCTTTAAATGATAGGACTGAATTCTTTTGTTGTCACAGTTGTTTCGTAAGTTCCAAATTTTAATGCATATTGTCTTATTGTCTTCTCTTTTTTTCTTTCCTCCTAGGTGCCTTAAAGAAAATATTTTAAAATGTTTCCTTCAGAAAAGATTTTATATGTATATATTGTAAAATTAAATTTATTTTTATTGGAATGTCTCGACACTTTATATAAGATGTCTTGTTTATACCTGTCACAGGGTTATTACCATATACTTTCTATTTATTATGGCTTAGCTTACTACTTCGTATAAAGTTTACTGACACTTAGAAGCTTTCATAAAAAGGAAATGCTATCCCCCTTCTTTCATCCCTTGTCTCCCCAATAACAGCCTGCAAGTGGAATTTACGTGGTTAACAAGATTATCACAGCAGAGGTGGTTATCTAGATGATCTTGGGTGCTGCAGGAGAAATTGATATTGTCTTTCTGTTCTTACTCTTCTGGAAATCAAGGTTTGAGTTTGGAAATTTGGTCTCAATTACAGACAAAAATTCCTCCTTCCTTTTCTTTTTTCGTAAGTCCATCACGTGTATTAGGCTTTGTAACGTAGGCAGGACAGCTATATTAGGCCATGACATTATTTTTTTCAAAATAAATAAAGTCTAGCTCCATCTCTAGAAAATGCTCTTCGGAGGACCACTGTCTCTGGAGTTCTTAGGCTTTCTTCCTTCCTTTTATCATTAGGCAGGGTTTCTGATCAAGCAGTGATCTGCTGTCCTGCTACTAGCACCAGTGTTAGAGCATCTTTCTCGGGGGCGATCAAACGTGGTCAGGCCACGAGCGTATGCGAAAACATAGTTTGATCATCTTTGGTCCTCTACAACGAAGCCGAGAGCTATGTGTTAATGCAAATCCAGCAAACGGGGCGAGGCCTTCTCCGGCCTGGCCGGGCCACAGCCTGCGCCGCTGAAGGCGGCAACCTCCACCC